CGGAGGAGGGAGAGGAGGGGGAAGGGGCACTGGGCGTCCACCCTGAAGAAGAGGAGCCGGAGGCGCGCCACCTGGACGTGCTGCGGCGCCACGCGGCCGACGCGTGCGCCCGCTTCGAGAGGGAGCAGGCGGCCCCACGCCCCCGGGGGAGGCCCAGCGGTGGGCCCCGAGGAGGCTGCTCCTGGTGGTTGGCCAGAGGCCCTCGCACGCCCTCAGATCTCCGGCGATCTGATTTCTTCATTCGAGAAGGTCTCATTTCATGGATTGCGGCCTCTGGGGCCCGTTATCGGTCCCCTGGACCATCAGAGAGGGATCTGGGGATCAAAACTTCCCCCCTGGGGAAGGGGTCGGGAGCTCTGGGGCCGCGGATTGAAGTCATATCGCTGGATGTCCAGGCGTTTTCGCCCGGCTCCGGGCCCTGGGGCTATCACACATCGATCCGGCTCGCAGAAGGCAGCAGAAAGACAGGGTCTGGGGCGCAGCGGTCGTGATTTTTCGCGAGGCTGCATCTGTCCCGCCCCGTCGGATCTCAGGGAAGGCTCTCGCAGTTTCCCGGGGAGTCCTGGAGGTCGGGACGGGGCCCAGGGTGGCCGTGGGGGGCTCTGGTCGGCCAGCAGGTGACGGGGGTCAGCGCGTTGGGCGTTGCGTCATCGGGGGTGTCATGGCGGGGCTCGGCCAGGGCGCCAGGCCACGCAGGATCCTGCAATGCCAGGCGCTGCAGCTGAGCCGGCCCCGGGTGGCCGTGGGGGGGGGCCCTGGTCGGCCGGCAGGCGACGGGGGTCAGCGCAAGCGGGGCTCGGCCAGAACGCCAGGTCATGCAGGATCCTGCAGGGCCAGGCCTCAGCTGAGCCGGGTTCGGGGCCGCCCGCGGCCCTGAAGGTGGCCTTACGTGTTTCGGGGGCGGCAGAGAGGGGGGTGATGATTAGGGGGGGGGGGATATCATGGCGTGGGCCATGATACTTCCCCAGCGTTCAGCGCGCCTCCTCTTATTTCATGACGTCGCTGGCCCCCCCCCCTGGGCCGCGCACGCGCTGCTGGCCATGATTTGCGCTCCCCCCTCTTTGACGCCCCCCTCTTGTGGGAAGCCCCTCAACAACTGCGGCGCAGTCTTGTCTAGATTGGCTGAGCTGGGTTTGCGCTGACCCGGGTAAGTCCGCGCCCGACCTTGACGGGCATTCGGGGGATCTCGGGGGAGGTTCCGGATGGTCTTGGGAGGCCCCGGGGCTCCAGCGGCACAAGAAGTGCCTCCAGGACGAAGGGTCGGCCTCCGCTCTGGTCGGCGTTTTTTGGTATCTCTCGAATCCCTCGGTTTTCTCGGGTCCCGAGATCTTCTTCTCGATTTCCCCTCGGATTCCCCAGGATGGAGGGTCGGTCCCCAAAGATGTTTCATCAATTTCCCGTGATATTCCCTTGATATCCCGAGACGGAAGGTCGATTTCCCTCTATTTCCCAAGTCCCGAGGCCTTCTCCTCCACCTGGGCTGGGAGGCCTCGGTGGTTTTTTAAAAGGTCACCGAGGCCTTCAAATAACTGCTTCGCTTGATTGTTGGATTCCTTAGACGTCCTTCTGGAATGTTGGATTCCTTCATTGCTTCAAAAGGGCACCGATTAGCAGCTGGATGATGTGGACTTCCTTGACTGTTGGATGGAGAAGAGTCGACGGCGAAGAGTGGGCTGACACCATGCGACGCATGAGACATCGAGTCAGCATCGCGTTGGTGCAGCTTCCACTTGACAGATGGAGCGCTCTGTTTTGTCGCCAGTCGTTTAAACTTGCCCAGAGAGCAAGCGATTCTGACACTGATTTGGCACAGGCGATCATCGGTTGGATACCCGTGTGCACGCACGGTGCCTCGAGAGCTTAAGGGCGCCCGCCGATGAGATGGGACGACTGGCTTGCATCGTTCACGCGTGACGCTCTGAGCGCAGCATCTCACTGGATTAGACACATCGTCATTGAGGACGAGAGCGCGTTCGTGGAGCACTGCTTGCAGAAGCAATGACGGGCCTCTTTTCTCCCTGGCCGTCCCGCTGTCACCTCCCCTCCCATCTCTCCTCCGCCCCCGCTCCCCCCTCTGCTCCGTGGCGCAAGGTTTGTTCACCAGTCGCGCGCGCCCTCCTGGTGACGCGTGCAGGTTGGACTGTTTCCCACGCTTATTTTCCACATCGTGCCCCGCCCGTTCACGGGCCGACCTCGTGGTTTGACCAGGCCTCTGCCTGCCGATCGGGAGAGGGACAGCAGGGGCCTGGGACCCGAGCTCGGGTTCGAAGTTTCCAAGAATCTTGCGAAGTGGGCTTGTAATTTCAGACTCCCCTTCGAGCGGTCTCCTTTTGTGCCGTTGGGTGGGCGACGTGATTTTCCACAGGGCGTGATGTTGGGCGTTGGGCTGGGAATGTGTGTGTGTGTGTGTGTGTGTGTGCGTGTGTGTGTGTGTGTTTTCTCCGTAAACTTTTAAGTTTGTTTCCTGCTGACTAACCGCTGGGTTTTGCAAGGCGCTGGCTGGCGAGTTCGAGTGCCACAACAGGACCTTGCTTTTCCTTGTAGAGGCTGCTCCGAGGACGGTGCAGTCCCAAAGTTGGACGCCATGGACCCCGATTCCCCGCTCTACCTCGTCACGCCTCCCGCCCCTCCTCGCGTCAGCGTGGTGACTCGTCGCCAGCTGTGGCACAGTAGCGACCCTGGGCAGTGGAGGTGCAGGTGCTGCGGACGGCGTGCCCGCACGCAGACCTCCCACGCACGTTTCTGTGGCGCAAGCGGGCCGCGCGCGCATGCAGCCTTCACCAGCCCACCAGCCTGCTGCGCCCCGCTGGTTCGGCGACCACGGTGAGAGCTTCGTGGTGGTCCAGTCTGCGGCCGTGCGCAGCGCCCTTGATGCATCGTGCGCGGCTGAAGCCGCCGAGATCGGCGCTGGTGGTCGTCTCGCTCCCGAGCTTGAACCCTGGCACGACGAGGAGCTCAGGGCCTTCAGGGACTGGGGCCATGATGTTGTCATATGTGGCCTTGTCTTTTTGTTGCAAGCTCAGTGGCGGCCACGGAAGTCCCGGGCAGATGGTCAAACTCTCCGTCCAATGTCGTGGCCTTTCGCAGGTGCCTTCCACACGTAGTAGCCAGCTTATGCACGTAAGGAGGATCGAGCGCGACCTTCGCACCATGACGAGAGCGAGCAATGCCGCGTAGTTTCTTTTCCCTCGTCGCCCGCCCCCACTCCCCCGCCCCGCCACCCGTGCGCGTCTACAAATTCAATGTGGCGAGCGCGGAGGATAACGAGGCGGGGCGGCTACGCGGCCGACGGGAGGGCCCAAGCGGTGGCTCCTGCGGTCGCAGACTGTCCCCCCGCCCCTGGTCAGACAGGACCCCCTGGTCGTCATTGGGTTCAGGGGGCGCGATATGGTCACCCCCTTTCCGTCCCTTCCTCCCTCCCTCCCTCCCTCCTTCCGCATTCTGCCCTCCTCTCCCCCTCCCCTCCTCCCTCTTCCCTGCTCTCGCCTGCTCTCTCTCCTGTTGCCCTCCCTCCCTCGTCGTTGTCGCCCGGCGCGGCGGTCGGGGCCACACTGCTCCGGCCTTCGGCGCTCGGCGAACGGGGGCTCGCGCTCTCGACCCGGTTGCTGGAGAGCCTCTCCAGGGAACCCCCTTTCGCCCCCCCCCCCCCCCCCCCCCCCCGAAGGGGCACCCCTCCCCACCCCGCCGGGGACTGGGTCTCTGGGTAGTGAAAATATGGCCGTCAACTCTCTCCTGAGAAATCCGCCGAAAACTGTCAAAAGCCTCCCGTCGCGATCTTGTTCCTCCTCCTCCTCCTCCTCCTCCTCCTCCTCCTCCTCCTCCTCCTCCGCCTCCCCCTCCTCCTCCTCCCACCGCCACTCCCCCGAGGGCTCCCCGGCGGGCCGGTGCGCCCTCGCCACGCCGTGTGCCTCCTTGATGTCGCCTCGAGATGTTCGGGTCCGCAGGGCTCGCGGGCCTGTCGGGGTTAAGCGCCGCTGCGCGCCCCGGCATATCCGCCTGCGGCTCCGCGAATATCGCTGGGGGAGGGGAGGATGCTCTTCTCGAGATCCGAGAGGAGCCTTCTCCCTCGAAAATATATGATGTTGGACGCTGCTCTGCGATCGCTCCGAAGCCGAAAGCCTCTTCGCTCCCCAAACAAGGGCGTCCTGTCGTGTCCTTTCGCCCCTTCCTCAGCCCGTCGGCGGGCCCTCCCAACGTCGCGGGGCGTGGGGCCCTCGCCACCCGTCCGGGGGCCTCCCTCGATCCCGGGGGGGGGGGAGGAGCCTCTCGACGCCCCCGGGAGGGAGCCCTCGGCCCCCCATGGGAGCCCTATCGATTTTCCAGTGGGCCCCCTTGAAGCCCTCAGCGTCCCAGGGCGCCCGGGAGGCCCCTTCCCCCCCCCCCAAGTTGCCCTCTCACTCCCCCGCGGCCCTCCCCTCGCCTCCTGGATGCCCCCCGTCGGTGGTGCGATGGGGCAGAATGTAGCAGGCGCCTGCATGCTGCAGCAACGCCAGCATGCAGTGCCCTCCACCAGCACCCAGCGACAACAGGGGCGTGCGGCACCATGCAGCAGCGCACAAGAGTATACAACAGCGAGCACCAGCATACAGCGGCAAGCACTAGCATACAGCTGAAAGTATCATTACGCACCAGCAGTATGCAGTGGTTTACATAAACATGCAGTTTTCGACAACATACAATACAGAGGCGCGCAGCTGGCTGTGCGTACCGATGCTGATCTGAGTGCTGCCGGCGTTTTTACTATCGTTGCCACAGTTGCCGTTGTAGTATCACAGAGAGAGAGAGAGAGAGTGGGAGAGAAATAATACAGAACGAGAGAGCAAGAGAGAGAGAGAGAGAAACCACAAAACACACACATATATATACACACATATAACAGGAGAAACAATGGTCCTCTGCTAGGCTACGATGCTTTTGGAACACAGGAGGCGCTGCGCCGATAACCGCTGCCACGGTAGTGATGCCCAAGCGCGAAGAGTGCATCAATCCGAATCTGCGTTGCCAAACACAAGGGGGAAATGAGCGCCCGGCGCGCTTTCCTCTCACAGCGGGGCGCTCTTGGGCCCGGCAGGACCTCTTGGGCCTCCTCCCCTGGGTTCCATGTGCCCCGAGGCTCCCGCCCGGCCCTGCCGATGGATTGCCAGGGCACTGGGCGACGACGACGACGCGTCCGCTCTGGCGGCAGGCGGAGCTGAGGGAGTTGGCGCAGTCCTGGGCCAAGACCGCCAGCGAGGCCGTGGACGACGACGAGCAGGGTCTCGTCAGGGCTGCCGGCCTTGACGCCCCTGGTTCTCAGAGATGAGGGCCAGCTTCGAAGAAAAATCAAGGCATATGCTTATGTATATGCATGTATGCATGTATGTATGGATGCATGCATGTATGTGTGTATGTGTGTATGTATGTGGCTACGTATACATGGATGTATGCATGTACATATATATATATATATATATACACCAGACTGCATTGGCGCTGCGCGCCATGCACCTTGGTCCTTTGGAATTCGCACGCTAGCGGAGTGCGAGCGTGCGTACATGCGCACACACATGCGCCTATGAATGCATAGTACATTTGTACATATATTATACGTTTGTATGGATATGTACATGTATATGCAAATGGTCAGTGTAACTATGTGTGCGCATGCACATGCGTATATCAGGCGGTGGTGGCCTGATCAGCTGCTCATATCATCGCGCCACTGAAAGGCGTGAGAGTCTCAGGCAAACGTGGTCAGACTACCATGGGGCAGTGCGTCGCCGAGGTCAGTGTTGCGAGGACGTCCCGGGTGAAAATGGCCTGAACACCTCCGCTCAGGGGAGGGCATATCCGAAGTCAGCCGTGCGAGGAAGTTTCAAGCGAGGAGTGGTCTGAACACCTCTGCTCAGGGCATCCTTGAACGTAGAGTTGCGAGAAGTCGCACGCGAAAGTGGCCGAACCACCATGGTGCAAGGCACCTCCGAAGTGAGACTTGCGAGATTGTCTCAGGCGACAGTGGCTGGAACACCTCAACTGAGAGTGTCTCGGGCCCCAGAGCTGCGATGATGTCTCGAGCGAAAACGGCGGGACCGATGCGAAGCAAGGCGCTTCGGAGGTCGGAGTTGCGAGCATATCTCTGGCGAAGCGGATTAGACTACTTTCCGTTATCTCCTTTTCCTCCTTCCCCTTTTCCTTTCCTCCTCTTGCTCCTTCTCCCCCTCCTCCTCCTCCTGTTCCTCCTCCTCTTCCTCTCCCCCCTCTCCGTTTCTTTTTTGTCCATTCTCCTCGTCCCTGGCGGCGCGGCGCGGTGCCGCTCGGCCTCTCTGCGAGTCAAGCGGCAAAGGGTGAGAGACCCCCCCGAATTAGGATCGGTTTTTCCCAAGCCGCCAAGGGGGGCCCGAAGGTAGTGCAAGAGGCGGCGCAGGTTTTGAAATCCCCCAGGGGCTCCTCGGATTCGGCCGGCCCTCTCCGGTAAGGTAGGCAAGGGCACCAACAGCGCGTCCGGATGAGATGGTGTCGTGTCCCCGATGGTTCGCATTGAGTGTTGCGAGAAGCTCAGTCGAGGCGGGAGGAGGAACATGAAGAGGATGAGGAGAAGGAGGAGGAGGAGGAAGAGGAGGAGGATGAAGAGGAGGAAGAGGATGAAGAGGACAGATTATGTGGATATCTGGGGTGCAGCCGAGGTGTCGCGGAAGAAATTCGCAGCAGAGACTTGGGAGAGTGAGGATAGCTGCTTCTGCTACACCTTCGGCGGGGCGGAACGTGAAACACCACGGGGAATTAGGAGAAGGAGGAGGAGGAGGTCGAGGAGGAAGAGAATGAGGAAGAGGAGGAGGAGCTCTTGGGTCCTTCGGTGGTTTGAACGAAGAATGGCTTCGCTGCGCCATCTGATACGACAACGACGACGACGACGAAGGCGACGACGAAGAGAAAGGTGTGCTCTTCTCCCCCCTTCCTCGCTCCCCCCTCTGCCCGGGTCCGGGGCTATTGCAGATTTTTGCCTTCATCTCTGCACTGCGGCCGGCTCTCGTCGAAGGGGGAATGAGAGGGGGGGACCGCTGCGTTGGGATCTCGTGGTGCGCCTCTCGGGGCCCTCTGGGCGGCAGTTTGGAAGCCTCTTGGGGGCGTTTTGGGGTTCTTGGGATCTTTTTGGGGCCTTCTGGGGGCCTCTTGGGGGCTCCTTGGGGCCTCTTGGGAGCTTCTTGGGGCCTCATGGGGCTCTCTCCGGGCGTCTTGGGGCCCTCTCGCGGCGGAAAATGCAGTTTTTGAATTTTTGGGCGCCCTCTTGGGTCTCTCTTGGGGCCGTCTTGGTGCTCTCTTGGGCCGTCATGGGCGCCTCTTGGGCGGTCTCGGAGCCCTCCTGGACCGTGCTGGGGCCTTCTTGGGTGCCTCTTGGGCAGTACTTGGGCGATCTAGGGGGCCTCTTGGGCCATTGTGGAGCGTTGGGAAGCGGGAAAAGCGAAAAGGCCAACGACATAGAAAAACAAACAGGAAAACCAACAATTGTAGCCTCTCGGGGCTCTCTTGGGAGGCCTCTTGGAGGTCTCTGGGGGCGTCTTGGACGCGTCTTGGGCAGTCTTGGGCCTCTCTCTCTCTCTCTCTCTCTCTCTGTTTCTCTCTCTCTCTCTCTGTTTCTCTCTCTCTCTCTCTCTCTCTCTCTCTCTCTCTCTCTCTCTATCTATATATACATAAATATATACACATATATATAGGTGTATATGGTTGGCTGTCTGTATGTTTGTTTGTAGGTCTGTGTCTATTCATGCATGTACGTATGTATGTGTGCATGTGTGTAGATAAGTCAGCACGTGTGTATGTATGTACGCTTTGTACATATGTATGTATGTCAATATGTATGTATGTATGTATGTGTGTGGGTACGTACGTATGCATGGATGTATGTGTGTATGTATGTATGTGTGTTGGTATATTTGCTTATATGTGTACGTATGCCTGTATGGATGTGTGCATTTATGTATGTGTGTATGTGTGTATGTATGTATGTAAGTATGTCTATGTGTGCATGCATGTACGCATGCATCTTTGTATGCATGTATGCATGCATATCTGTACGTATGTTTATGCCTGTGTATCATACGTATGCATGTATGTATGCATGCATTCATGTATGTATGTATGCATGTGAGCATGCAGCCATCTAGGTATGCATATATGCATGGATGCATGCCAGCCTCGGGGAGGAAGTGACGGCATATGCTAATGTATACGCATACAAGCATGTAGGTGTGGATGCATGCATGCATGTAGTCATGTATGTATGTATGTATTGTATGTGTGTATGTGCGTATGTATGTGAATACGTATATATTGGCGGTTGCATGTTTGTGTGTATGTGTGTTCGTATGGGTGAAAGTGTGTTTGTTTGCGTGTCTGTATGCATATACGGATGTATGTGAATGCATGTATGTTTGTATACAGGTTGCCAGGTAGGTATGCATGTATACATGCATTTAGACATGTATGTACACATATATATATATATGCATGTATGTGTGCATGTGTGTATTTATTTAGTTGTAGACCTGTGTATGTGTATCTTTGTGTGTACGCATGTATGTGTATTGGCGTTGTATATATGGACGTACGTATGTATGTAGCTGTGTGTATACATGTATGTATGTATGTGTGCGTGTATGTCTGTATGTGTGAATGCATGTATGTATGCGTGCATGAATGTATGCATGTATATATGGATGTGTGCATGTGTGTATGTATGCATGTGTGTATGTATATGTGATTGTATGTATGCATGTTCGTTTGTACGTATGTGTGTATGTGTGTATGCGTGACTGTGTGTATGTGTGTATGTGTGTATGTACGCATGTATGCATATGTGTATGTAAATATGCATGTGTGTATGCATGCATTTCTACATGTATGTATGCATGCATGTATGTATGCATGTATCGATGCATGTATATGTGTACGTCTGTGTGTAACTGTGTATGTGTGTATGTATGTATGCATGCATGCATGCATGCATGCATGTATGTATGTATATGTGTATGCATGTATGTATGTTTGTATGTATGTATGTATGTGTGTATGTATGTATGTATGTATGTATGTATGTATGTAAATATGTATGTATGTATGTGTGTGTATGTATGTGTGGATGCATGCATGCATGCATGCATGCATGCATGCATGCATGCATGCATGTATGTATGTATGTATGTATGTATGTATGTATGTATGTATGTCTGTGTGTATGCGCGTATGCGTGCAACCACTTCTGTATGCTTGTACGCATGTTTGTGTGCATGCATGCATCTGTTTTCACATATGCACACACATATATATATATATATATATATATATATATATATCGGAGGTTGGGGGGTGAGATCGAAGTGGAACGGAGAGCCCCCCTACCGGGAAATCGATTTCGGTTTCGTGTTCGTGCGTGCCGTGCGTGCGGGCGAGGCGAAGCTGCGTGGGCGGGCGAGAGGAAAGTCTCCTGTGGCTGAGGCGCGGCCGGACCAAATGATTCTCCACCGGGGCGCGGGGCCGCGCGGTGTCCCGCCGGTGTCCCGGTGGTGTCCTCTGTGGCTGAGGCGCGGCCGCACCAAATGATTCTCCACCGGGGCGCGGGGCCGCGCGGTGTCCCGCCGGTGTCCCGGTGGTGTCCCGTCGGTGTCCCGTCGGTGTCCCGATGATGATGTTGATGATGATATGATGATGATGTGATGATGATGTGATGATGATGATGTTGATGATGGCGATGATGATGATGATGATGATGATGATGATGATGATGATGATGATGATGATGATGATGATGATGATGATGATGATGATGATGATGATGTTGATGTTGGTGATGATGATGATGTTGATGTTGGTGATGATGATGATGATGATGATGATGATGACGACGTCGATTGTGAGATCGATTGTGATCGGACGTTGGGGGGTGAACTCGAAGTGGAACGGAGAGCCCCCCTACCGGGAAATCGATTTCGGTTTCGTGTTCGTGCGTGCCGTGCGTGCGGGCGAGGCCCCGTGCACCCACCAGTACAGGCTAAGCTTTGCCAGCCGCTCTCTCCGAGCGCGCCCCGTTCCTTCGGGCGGCCGCGCGGGCTCGCCGCCGCGGCTGGAAGCGAATCGAAAAACTGATGCGTCTGGGCCTCTGGAGTTGGGCCGTCTACATAAAAAGGGATACGCCGACAGGACGCCGGCGCGGGCCCCTGGGAGGGGTTCCGGTTCCGTTTTGAGGTTGGCGCCGAGGTTCGGTCGAGGTTTCCTGGCCCTCGGAGGCCCTGCTCGCCGCCGCGGCTGGAAGCGAATCGAAAAACTGGTGCGTCTCGGCCCTGGAGTTGGGCCGTCGACATGAAAAGGGATACGCCGACAGGACGCCGCCGCCGTCGCTGTCGCAGCAGTTCTCATCAATTGCATTTGCACCATGTGCAACCCGACAAACGGAGGGAGAGGAGCCTCAGCAGGCCTCCGAGAAAACATGATGGACCCACGAACCCGGAAAGGGATATAGACATGTGGAGCATGGACACGTTTTCACGATACCCAACTGGGCAACACCTCACGAAACATCCCACGAGACACTTCACGAAACATCCCACGAGACACCTCACGAAACATTCCACGAGACACCCGCGAAACATTCCACGAGACACCCCACGAAACAAACATCCACGAGACACCCCACGAAACATTCCACGCGACTGGGGTGTGGTCGTGCTGGGGAGTGGTCGTGCTGGGGTGTGGTCGTGCTGGGGGGGTGGTCGTGCTGGGGGTGGTCGTGCTGGGGGGGTGGTCGTGCTGGGGGTGGTCGTGCTGGGGCGTGGGGGTGGTCGTGCTGGGCGTGGTCGTGCTGGGGTGGTGCTGGGGTGTGGTCGTGCTGTGGTGAGGTCGCTGTGGGTGTGTGCTGGGGTCTGCTGGGGTGGGGTCTGCTGGGGTGTGGTCGTGCTGGGGTGTGGTCGTGCTGGGGTGGGGTCGTGCTGGGTGGGGTCGTGCTGGGGTGTGGTCGTTCTGGGGTGTGATCGTGCTGGGGTGTGGTCGTGCTAGGGTGGGGTCGTGCTGGGGTGGGGTCGTGCTGGGGTGTGGTCGTGCTGGGGTGTGGTCGTGCTGGGGTGTGGTCGTGCTGGGGCGGGGTCGTGCTGGGGTGGGGTCGTGCTGGGGTGGGGTCGTGCTGGGGTGTGGTCGTGCTGGGGTGGTCCGCACCCTGTGATTTATCGATCGGGTCGTGCTGGGGTGTGGTCGTGCTGGTGCTGGGGTGTGGTCGTGCTGGGGTGTGGTCGTGCTGGGGTGTGGTCGTGCTGGGGTGTGGTCGTGCTGGGGTGTGGTCGTGCTGGGGCGTGGTCGTGCTGGGCGTGGTCGTGCTGGGGTGTGGTCATGCTGGGGGTGTGGTCGTGCTGAGGTGTCCCGCACCCTGTGATTTATCGATCGGGATTTCAAAAACAAGCGTTTCGCCTGAGACATCCTCAAATTTTAATCCGCCGGCCTCCTTCGACCTCGATATTTTTCAGGGAAAGAATCCGCCGGCCTCCTTCAAGTTGGGCACCGGGGACATGTTTACATACTAAAAGAGAACCCTGGGCCTGCGCCCTTTCCGGGAAAAATCTCCACTGGCATCGTCAGGAGAACAATCACCACTGTTGCCGATTGCTCGGCCCCTCCCCCCCCCCCAACCTCCTTATCACCCGCAGGGTGGTCGTATAGGTATATATATATATATAAATATATGTATACAAACACATGTGGAGCTCCGCGCTGATTTCTTGGATCGGCGATGGACACCACTGGCGGCGCCTCCAGCACCGCCCCTGGCGCGCTCCGCGTGCCGGGAAAATGGATTTCCAGCGTCGGGCCAGGGATTCCGCGCGGATCTCCGACAGCTTCCGTTTCTGACGTTTTGTCTACAGTGAGACAGCGGATGTTGGCCTTCGGGGGTGTCCCTCGTCGCCACGGTTTGGCGCTGTCTGGAAACTTTGGGTTTGGACCGCGGGAGAGGTTAGGGGACGGATTTGGAGCAGCCTTAGTCTCAACGCGCCCTCCGAGGTTCACGTGCCGAGATCCGCGCCGCCGCGGTCGCCAGCAGAGATAAGGCCTCCCCGCGGCGGCCATCGCCGCTGGCATCGCTGCCGCCGTCGCAGAATTCGGTGACGGTGGTGGTCGTCGTCGCCGTCGGCTTTTGGCATTGGAGTTTCTGGGTCGTTTCGGATATTTGGTGGTGGAGATGATCGTCGCCGTCCTCGTCGTCTTGATCGTGATCGTGGTCGTGGTCGTTGTCGTCGCGGTCGTCGTCGTCATCTCTTGCTCTTAAATTGAAAGAATAAGGGGAGCAGGTTGAGGAATGTGAGGTGGAGGAATAAGAGGAGGGGATATTGGGGTGATGGTGAGGAGGAGGACGATGAAGAGGACAAGGAGAAGCAGGATGAGGAGGACGATCACAGGCCAGCGAAGGCGAGGAAGACGAGAAGTTTGCGGAGAAGGAATAGAGGCAGGTGAAGGAGGAGGAGGAGGAGGAGGAGGAGGATGGGGAGTGGGAAGAGGCCGCCAGGGTGCCAGCTTCGAAGCTCCATCCGGAAGCTCTTCCCAGTTGCCGCTCCATCGCCTCTCCCGTCCTCCTGCTCTCCGCCTCCCTCCCCCTCCTCCCGCCCCCCTGGCTTCTTCTCGCCTCCCCCCTCGTCCCCTCGTCTCCGATCTCCTCCGCCCCGCGTTCTGCCCCACCTCCGCCTCCTCCTCCTCCTCCTCCTCCTCCTCGTGCTCGTGCTCCTGACCCGCTGACCTTCTGCTGCCGCTGCTGCCCTCCCTCTGCGACCTGGGCGGCGGCCCCCTCGTTGCCCTGCCCGCATCAGCTCGTGCGCTCTCGGCCTGCCGCGGCGCCGGCGTCAGGCCTCTGGACGCCGGCCCTGCTTCCTGCTCCTGCCGCGGCTCCCTCGAACTGCTGCTGCGTAACGTCGTTGATGGGCCTGTTTTCCACCACCACCACCATGGGTTGGAGAGGGGAAGGAGGAGGAGGAGGAGGAGGAGGAGGAGGAGGAGGAGGAGGAGGAGGAGGAGGAGGAGGAGGAGGAGGAGGAGGAGGAGGAGGAGGAGGAGGAGGAGGAGGAGGAAGAGGAGGAGGAGGAGGAGGACCCCCTCCCCCTCCTACTTATGGTGGTGGTGGTGGAAAACAAGCCCACCAGTCGTGCTCCTGTTCCTGAGGATTCCTCTCGCTTCGCGGGGTGCACGTCTGGAGCACGTACAGTCAAGTCGTGGCCTGCACTTGGAGGCGCGCTGCGCCCAGTGTCCACTCCTGCCGCGGATCCCTCTGACAGCTGCTGCGCCACGTCATGCTCCTGTTCCTGATGATTCGCAAGGCTTACGCCATTCCTCCGACCCCCACAAGGAGTGAGTGCTCGAGACGATCGTGGAAGTCGTATCTTGGGGTCAGGAGCACCCTACATGAACCCTGTGGGCCTCTTGGGATGCCTCTCTGGGGCCTCTTGGAGACCTCTTGGGGGCATGTGGGCTCCTGTTTCTAATTACCTTCGCTTTTTATTAGCACACGATGGGTTCCGGGCGTTCTCTGTCTTAAAGGATTGCCCTGTAGAAGGTCAGTACAACGTTGACGAGATTGTTTCAACATTCACGTTTTCCGTCGTCGCTGCAAATCGTGTTGCAGGAGTGGGGCTCGGATCCCATGTGCACGAGAGAGCGAAAGGTTGCTCCCGCCCACGCGCCCCTCCTACTTCCAAAGAGAGCAGCTGCACAGCCGCCTTGGCGCGGTGCGCGTTCTTCTTCCCTCGCCAACTCATCAGCGCCAGTGTCGCGCGAGAGTGGGCGAAGTGCCGCGCTCGAAGCGACGCGCAGACTTCGTGGGGGGGGGCGGCTCCGCTCGCGAGCGGGCGCAGCTTGGTGCCCGCGCCCCAGCTCCGCACAGACTCTGCCCGCAAGTCTGCGCTCCCGCGCGGGCGCGACGCACGCTCCGCCCGCCGCCTTCTCGCGCCTCCGCGGCAGCCTGCCGCGCGGCGTCGCGGCGGGCCGCGGGCGAGGCGCCGCCCCTCGCCCCTGCGCCGCGCAGCTCGCGCGTGCCCGCGGCGGCGCTCTGCTCTTCGGCGCGGCGCCTGCCTCTCCTCCCCGCCGCGCTCGCCGGACGTCTGGCCCCTCGCGAGGGCAGGGGGCCACTGGCGAGCCCCACCCCCCGCCCCCCACGATTTCCGAGGGGGAGGGTGGGGCTCACACCATTCGGGAGCTCCCGAGCGAAGTGCACCCCACCCCCTCCCCCTCAGAAGTCGTGGGGGGCGGGGGTGGGGTTCGCCAGTGGCCCCCCTCGAGAGGGGGCCGGGCGCTGCCCTCGCCGCTGCGCCGCGCGAGGAGCTCCGTGGGGGGGCTCCGCTCCCGCCCCGTGCGCGGCCCGTGCGCTTCGCTTTCCCCCTTAGCCGGGCCGGCGCACGGCGTGGCCGCGCGCGCGCGCGCCCTCCGCTCGCCGGTTGAGAGCACGCTCGGGCCCCAAATTCGAGCGGAGGCGTCCTCCTCCTCCCCCTCCTCCCCCCCCTCCCCCTCCTCCCCCTCCTCCCCTCCTCCTCCTCCTCCTCCTCCTCCTCCTCCTCCTCCTCCTCCTCCTATGGTAGTGGCATGTTTTTTTCTGTTGTTAGTCAGCTTACGTCCTTCCCGCTTGCCCCTGCCCTCCGCCTCCTGCGGGCGCACGGGCCGACCACGGCTTCTCTCTGAGGCCACGGTCAGCTGCACGTGCAGTGCCTGTTGCAGGTCGGCCCGCGGAGTGTCTCTGGAGTGCCTTTTGCGACCTGTTCGGTCATATGTTCCTGGCTGCCGCGCTGCGATTAGGTCAGTGGTTGCGCTGTTCATGTCCTCTTCCCCCCAAACAGGCAAAACATGTTGTTGCGTATTTCATGCAGGGAGGGTTCGGACTGGATGGAGCCCGCCGACTCGGCCGGCCTGGCCATGTCGAGCTGGTCCTCGTCCTGCCCCTGATCCTGCCATCTAGTTCTCCTCTTCCTGCTCCAACTCTTGACCCCTCGACCGCGACCTGACGTCCACCTAATTCTGGAAGCCCCGTGTGGCGTGGTTAACAGGACATTTCGTCTCGTTGGTTTTCCTTTCTGTCTCTCTCTCTCTCTCTCTCTCTTTAACTCTGCCTTTCTTGTCTCTTTCTCTATCTGTCAGTACGTACGTATCAGTATAGAACTATCCGCGCCTTCGCTCATTCTCCTCTTGACTCCGCTCCTTTTGGTCCTCCCTGTGCGTCCACCACGCACAGGCAGACCACCTGTCCACTGATGGCCGTCGCAAGTGGATGGGCGCACGCGACCCGCCCCTTACGGCGAGGAGGTCCCGCTCGGCCCACTCGTCTTTCGAGCCGCCGCCGTGTGAGTGGCCGCAGGCCCCTGCCGTCTGCCTTCCTCTCTCGTCGTCGTCCTCCTCTCGGGAGGCCTCTGGAGGCCTCTGATGTCCCTCAGACCCGGGCGTTGCAATTTTTTCACCCTGGGCGTTCTCGCCTGGCTTCGGCTCCCGGGACTGTCACGGGTCGATCTGGCTCGAGAGATGCCGAAGAAAGATGGGGTGTGGCGCTCCGGTTGTGACTTTTTCGCGAAGTTACAACTTTCCCCTCGTCGGATCTTAGAGATTTGCGAATCGAGGTCTTCAGAAGCTTGTGGAGGTCACTGGAGGAGGCTCCCAAAGGCCCCAGACGAACAGAAGTGTCCCAAACCTCAATCCTCAATCCTCCGTCGCGTAGGCGCGCGATCAAGCGATCTTCTGCCTGCAGCACTACGTCCAGGCTGCAAGCGAGAGCCTCGTGCTGCCGCCCAAGGACGCCTGGCAGCGCTGTCTAAGGGTCTGTCTGCTCGCGGAGGTGGTGACTCTGCGCAGCAACAGCGCAGACAGGAGGATGAGGGAGGGCGGGGATGGGGGGAGGGAAAGCGGGGGGTCGAGGGACGACAAGGGAGACGAGGGAGGAATGATCTGGAGGGGGAGGGGGGGAAGAGGACGAAGAAGAGAAAGAGCAAAAGGATAAGAACGGGGTGGGTGAGGACGAGGACGAGGTACTTCGGATTAGGATGGGGGATGAATGAGGGAAGTCGTGGAGGAGTGGGAGATGATAGCGATGATGCGGAGGTGAGGAGGACGAGGAGGAGCTAGATGAAGACTATCATCAGCGAACTAGCACTGCCCAGTGGATGCGAGGGGGGATATAAGCAGGATGGGAACTTTGATTATGCAGCTGATGATTTTGGTGATGATGTCTTCGACGACCACAATGGGGATGGCGGTGCTTACGTAATTGTCGGTCCCGATGACGGTTACATGACCTACGGATAATGATTCGGGTGAACATGAGGTTGGGGGATAGGTGCGGTTGTCGGTCGCATCAGACAGGGAATTCAGTTTCACTCCTCGAACATCCCTAATCATCGTAGCACTTCTTATCAGTGTATATCTTTGCAATTGTCATGCTTATTGCCCGTCTCAATATTCCAAGTCTTCTCCCTGTGGTCATTGTTGTCTAGTCGGCTCGGTTTCCTCATGCTGAGACCCTCTCCCTTGGAGTGGTATTTATCCAGCTGCCTGCGGCAAATCCAGCCACCTGGCCAGCGCACCAGCGTGTCAGAAGGAGGTTGAGTTTCATGCCCGCTGCAGTTCAGTGCCCCGCTGACAGTTGGCGTGGGTCCTGAGCACCCCCCCTCCCTGTCCGCAACCCCTGCCTCCGCCTCTTCCCTCCCCTGTCCTTCTTTAGGAGGAGGAGGAGGAGGAGGAGGAGGAGGAGGAGGAGGAGGAGGAGGAGGAGGAGGAGGAGGAGGCCCTCTCGGGGGCCTCCTGCGGGCCCCTCGTCGTGGGCGCGACGGCCCCCCTCGTCGGCCGACTCCTCTCGGGGAGGTCCCGGCAGCTCTCGGGGCCGTCTCGGGGGCTCCTTTCGGAGGCTTCTCGGGCGCTCCTGGGGAACTCTGGTGGCGCTCTCTGGGCTGCCTTCGTCCCGGGGGGGTCCTGGCCAGCTCTCGGGGCCGGTCCGGGGCCATGAACATACGATTCTCGGGCAGCCGTGGGGCTTTTGGGGCCGTCTTCATCCCCAGGGAGGTCTTGGGCAGCTCTCGGGGCCGTCCAGAGGGCTACGTCGGAGGATTCTCAGGCAGTCTTGGGGCTGTCCTGTGGCGTTCCTGGGGCCGTCTTCACCCTGGGATGGTCTTGGTAGCTTTCGGGGCCGTCCCAAGGGCTATGTCGGAGGATGCTCGGGCAGTCTTGGGGCTGTCCTGTGGCGCTCTTGGGGGTGTCTTAATGGTGTCTTGCGGTGTGCCTAGGGCTCTTTGAAACTTCTCCGAGCCGATCTGAAACCGAAAAGCCTCGGAAGCAACACCCACGATTGGCAATCGTTTTCGTTTGGTTGTTGTTGGATTTCTGTGCTTGGCCTCATCGGGCCTCGCTGGAAGCCTCTTTCGGCGTGTCTTGGATGCTACTTGGAGCATCCTGAGTTCGGTGTCGCCTTGCAGTCGTTTTTGTTGGGCGGTCTCTGGCTGTCTTGGAGCCGTCTGGAAGCGGACATATGCACTCTTGGGGTTGTTTCGTAGCGCTCTTGGCGCCGTATTGGGCGTCTTGGGTGCCCCTCCCGAGGTCTTCCCGAGGCGATCACGTCATGCGCCTCTAGGGTTTCAACGCTATTCTTCTCTACCTCGCTGTATTCTCTGTAATCTTCTTCTCTCCAGGCGGCCCTTGGAACCTTGGGGATTCTCTGGGAGCTTGTCTGACCGTCTTAGGACGGTTCTGGGGCGCTTTGTAGCCGTTTTGTAGAAGTCTCAGGTTGTGTTGAGGACGTCTGGAGGCCGTCAGAGGCGCCAGAGAGCACGAACGGGGGGGAGGATTTTCTGACCATGAGGTGTAGGAGGATGCGGAGGAGGACGAGGCCGAATAGGAGGGGGAGGGGGAGGGGGAGGGGGAGGGGGAGGGGGAGGAGGAGGAGAAGGAGGAGGAGGAGGAGGCCGAAGAGGAGGAGGAGGGGGAGGAGGAGGAGGAGGAGGATGAGGAGGAGGAGGAGGAGGAGGCCGAAGAGGAGGAGGAGGCCGAAGAGGAGGAGGAGGAGGAACAAGGGGGATGAGGAGGGAGGGACGGTTGTGGTGGATGAGGAGGACAAGGGGAGACCCAAACGCATTAAGCATCGTGGCTCTATGCAATCCGCCCAACAGAGATGGCTGCATCTTAATGCTCGCATCCGCAAGACACACTTGCAACATGCTGCCCTGCGTGGCCAGAACCCGCCGACCTAATTCTTCTGCTCGTCCACGATATCGGGGCTCGGGATGGGTTTCTTGATCCAGGGTGTTCTTTGATGGGAGTGGTACGTCCTCCCAGTCACGAGGGTTGGTGCTGAGCCCAGAGAAGAACGAAACGCGCAAGGAGGTTTGGGGGGGAGCTTTCGCAGTGTGCAGTCTGGATGTTTTCGAGGCCTAGCCAGCCGCGGCCATGAGGGCGCCCAGGGAGAACCAACAGGGCCCAAGCATTTCCGACAGCCCGGGTCCCCAACCCTCGATACCCTGGGCAGCAGCCTCAGTGTTGCCGGCGCGAAGGTGCTGCCGCGACTGCCCCTCCGCTGCTCCAGGGCCCCGCGCGCCGCGTGGACCCTGCCTGCAGCGCTGCTCGTGCCTACGCCATCGGCTTCTGGAGGAGGGAGGGGAGGCGCCAATCGTGCTTGCGGGGGGAGCACACGCCGCCAGTTTTGTCCAGACCCACCGCTTCGGAGTCGTGCCTCGGGGGCGGGCAAATCTCCATGTGCACTGCTCCGCTAGTCCCGAGGCCACGGCCTCCCGGCACTGGACATGTACATCTGCTGGCGGCGCAGGGGAGGCGGAGGAGGAGGAGGAGGAGGACGAGGAGGAGGAAGATGAGGATGAGGGTGAGGATGCGGATGAGGATGAGGACGATGAGGAGAAGGAGGAGGAGGAGGAGGAGGAGGATAAGGATGACGCTGCTGCTGCTGATGATGATGATGCTGATGATGATGCTGATGATGATGATGATGATGATGATGATGATGATGATGATGATGATGATGATGCTGATGATGCTGATGATGATGATGATGGTGATGGTGATGGTGATGGTGATGGTGATGGTGATGGTGATGATGCTGATGATGATGATGCTGATGATGCTGATGCTGATGCTGATGCTGATGCTGCTGCTGATGATGATGATGATGATGACGAGGCGGAGGAGGAGGAGGAGGAGGAGGAGGAGGAGATGGAGGCGGATAATAACGAGCAGGAGGAGGATGACGAGGAGGAGCAGGAGGATGAGGATGAGGACGAGGAGGAGGAGGAGGAGGAGGAGGAAGAGGAGGAGCAGGAGGAGCAGGAGGAGCAGGAGGAGCAGGACCAGGAGCAGGAGCCACGAGTTCGACGGCGGCGGCGGCGGCGGCGCCTGGCGGGCGCCTGCGCTGCCGCGAGGAGGAGCAGCGCCCCGAGCGGGCCTCCTGCAGCCGGGAGTGGCAGGCTCGGGAGGCGGCACGGTCTCGCGATCGCGGTGCCGTCGCCGTCGTTGTTGCGGCCTTCATCGTCTGTCGCTCTCGTCACTCGTCGTCCTCGTCGTCGCCCGCCGTCGTGCTCGTCCTCGTCGTCGCCGGCGTCGTCGTCGCCGCTCGTCGTCTCATCGCCGCCCATCGTCGTGCTCGTCGTGCTCGTCGTCGTCGTCGTTCTAGTCGTCGCCGTCGCTCGTCGTCGCCGTCGATCGTCATCGTCGTCGCCGTCGCTCGTCATCGTCATCGTCGTCGTCGTGATTGCTGTCTGCGTCGTCGTTTCCGCAGCCGCTCGTCGCTCGTAGTCGTTGGTTTCGTTGCTATGGTCGCCTCTCGTCGTCATCGTCGTCGGGGTCGTAGTCGTCATCGTGGTGTCGTCGTCGTACTCATCGTCATCGTCGGGGTCGTAGTCATTATAGTTGTCCTAGACTATTTTTGGTTCTGTCCCGGGCGTTTGTTGCTTAAAAACAGTTTTTAACCCGGCGTATTGAGGATCAGTTTAAAACGCATTGTTCGGTCAACATGTTTTTGGTGT